GAATTAACTGTTTTTAATTGCAATTTGTTATTACTTTATTGATTTTTAATAAAAATGTTTTTTAAAATATAGGGATCTTTGAGATCGTAAATTGGTGAAATATTTTACCAATTTTTTCTCTTTTTTGGTAAACAGGTAAAATGAATTTTACTTCATCCCTAGAATTAATATGGTATAATTATTAATTGATTTATCAATAACTTCTTTAATATTTTTTAAATCTTACACTAATAACATTAAATTACAACAATTAAGTATCACATTTATTTTAATACGCCATTAATTTGTAAAATATTTTAAATTTAAATTAAATTAATATGAATTAATAACAATTCAAAAACAGTCATTTAATACGGTGTCTCTGGGAAGGGATCTCTTGTGACATTGACAGACACTACGATAACGACAATTAGAACCCACACCAAAAAGAAACCTCTTACAAATCCAAGCATAATCGACATAACAGTCATCTGCGTTTTTCTCATAATGAGAGGTCGAGTTTGTGGGTTTTTAATCATGCAACATCCAATACACATAACCAACGGAACGAACATCCCAACAATCATCATAATTGTTGTTGTGTTCATTAAACTCGCTTCTTTGTCTCTCACTTCCGACGAAATTTCATCGGTTTTATTTTCTCCATTAACATCTACAATTGGTGTTGGATATTGAGGGTTCATTGGCATTTGTTGCATTGGTTGTTGTGGATACATAGGGACTTGCTGTTGATAATTTTGTTGGTCTTGGTACATTGGTGGAGGCGGTTGTTCGTAATTCTGAGGTGGAACGTAGTTTGGGTTTGGATATGCGTCGACCATTACAATGAATGTTTAAAAAAATATTTGATTTCTTTAAATAGGTTGTGGGGTTAGATATTAAATTATCGAATGCAATTTGTAATATATTATTAAAATTTAATTATTATTTAATAGTATATTTTTTATTAATACAAGACGAAATAAAATTATTATTTTTTGAGATAATTTATTTTTGCTTTAATAAAGAGACATTTTAACTTATCCCTCTTTTAAAACTTCCTTTTGTTATGTTGGTGGATTTGTATGGTAATATATGGGAAATGTAAATATTTTGTTAAAAACTGAATTTTTTAAACCTCTTTGAAAAATATCAAAAAATCTCATAAGAAGAATGTATCCCTTCTATTTTATTCGTAATAAAATTTTGTTTTTATTATTTGTAATAAACTAATAATAAATACTTTTAAGTTTATAATAATTTTTAAAAACATGTTGAATAAGTTAACTAATATGTAGTTTTCAATAGTATTGATAAATGTACCATTATTTCTAATTTTATCTTGTTAGTATATTTATAAAATAATTGTTTAAAACATGTTAAAATAACAAAGGTTTAAAAGTTAATTAAAAAAAGCGATTATTAACCAACCAGGGTATCCCAAATTACTATGGATGCGCCAAATCTTTTTAGGCCACAAAATCGGGTCGCAACTCTTAAAAATAGAGCATTTTATAAATAAACAGACAATTTTTATTTTTTTTCTGAACAAATAAATTGTTAAATATTATTCAATTAATTAACAGATCAGTTCCAAAATTAAAACATGTTAAAAATACGACATCTAGATTATTTTTAGAAATATGAACTGGGATGAAACAATTTTAAATTATTACACAAAAAATTATTTCGATTAAAACGAATAACTTCAAAACAACACAAATAACCTCTTACAACACAGAAATCATTTCTGACTTCTCTTAATTTTTTTAGAAATACATTCTTAGATCCACTTAATCCTACAATTGAATTTTTCATTATCTTTTTTTCTATGTTAACAAACAAACTTGTAGTTTAGAATTTACGAATCAATATTTGGACTGACACACTTGTTGAATATAATTTTCATATATTATAATACATTACAAAAACACCAAATGAGATAATAAAAGAGCAACGAATTGAGTACGTAATAATTTTGAGAAAAAAATAAATTGAATAATATTTTGTGTTTGAGTAAATAATGATGTTTTGATTTTTGTAGAGAATTAAATACCATCTGGTTTGATATTTGAATATTTACTTGTAATTACATAATTAATGATGATGTTGTGATGAAAGTGTAATAATGTTGATCATTAATGTATATGGTGAGTATGGCCATTAATACAATTATCATTAGCAATCAACTAATTGTTGTTTACCATATATTCCTTATTGGAATATGAAAATAAAGTGAAGACGACTTAAATAGTCATTTATGACTTTTTTTGTTTATGAGAATAAAATACAGAAACATTTGTTTATGTGTTTTTGATTTTTTAAAGCAGGTATTTAATGGATAAAAAGATGGGAATCCCTAATGAAACCAGAAAAAGAATCATTCAAATAATTTAAAATTTATTTACTATGACTAATATATTTTAATGTTTCGTATTATATATATCATGAATAATTCGGTCCTTTAAAATTATTGGCAAAACAAAATCAACACAATTAAATACTTTTTTCAATATGTGTGCTCTTCTTCCGTTATAATTTTTATATTTTTTCTTGTGTAAAGTTTTTGTTTTTAAAAACAAAAACATTTTAATGATATTTTGGCATATAAAAACATAATAAACACATCAAAGTTTACAAAAAACATATCAATTGTTGTCGAATAAAATAAATTAATTTTAAATGAATTGATTATTTATCACACAAAATAAAAATGCTGTATTACATCAACTAAGGCAATTAATGAAAGAACTATCATTATCACGTATTTTGATCAATGTTTGTTGTTTATAAATTCATTTTTAATCATTAAATATTCAAAAATCTATAAACTAGGAATAAGTAAGTGTACATATAAGTATTATAATGTGTATATGATTTAAATAAGCTTTTTCAATTTAAGATAAATAAATCAAAAAAAATCAAAGTATAACCTTTTTATAAATTATCATTATACAATTTGAAGCTTGGATGTTTTGAAAGTTTGGTTCTACTAACTAAGTATTAATATAGAATTCTCTTGATTAAAAAATTGTTATAAATTATTAATTAATAATAAAAGACAACACTTTTTATTTGTAATTTCATTGTCAAACATTTTAAACTTTTTCAAAAACATTGATAATAACAAATTGATAAGATGTGTTTGACTTGTCAAATTTGATTTTATCACTTCAATTTTTAAAAAAGACCACATTAAACTTTATATACTTGTTGATTATTATTTATTGATATAATAAAAATATAATAAATACATTCTTTATATAGTTTTATATTTAAAAACCCCCAACTTAGATAAAATAAATAAAATAATGTGTTACAATTAAAATATTTTACTTATAGAGTAAAAATACAATTTCAGTTGAAATTTGTAGGACCATACACAAATTTAAGTAACACCCCTTTATTATATATATAAACTGGAAATAAAAAGTGTGTACCATTTTTAATCAATTTGTTTATTTTAGAGTATTTTCCCGATATTTATTAAGATTCAAATCTATTTTTCATAATTTTTATTTCGAAGTACACACTTTTATAACAACCAAAATCAATTCAAAAATAGAATCATCTAATAATGTGGGAATTATGCAACAGTTAAGCTGAATTACCCAAATTTTATACGTTCCACACGACAAACCTTATTAACTTTAATAATTAAAGTTTGTCACCAATAAACCCACCTTTTGATTTCAAACACAATTTGAATCTTTCTGGGATAGATTCAATCAAATTGTTGATTGTTTGTATCGGGATTTCATCCCATACAAGCAATAAAGCTTCTTTTAATTTTTGTTCATTTTCAAACACTTTTGTTTTTTCTCTTATTTTCTTTTCCATTATCGACCATAGATGTTCTATGGGACTTAGATCAGGTGAGTTAGCAGGCCATTTTTGAAGTACTTTGATGCCCATTCCCTGTAGTTTTGTTAATGTCGTCTTTGAAGTATGACAAGGAGCTCCATCTTGTTGAAAAACAAATTTTTTTCGTCCCCACTTTTCAACAGCTTCATCAAAAACTCCCGATTCTTTTAGAATGTCTAAATATTTAGCTGAATCGAGTCTGTTGGAACAGAAGACAAGTTTGCTTTTGAAATCCTTTGCAATTGCTCCCCAGACCATTACAGAGCGGTCATATTTGGGAGTCGATTCAAAAATTGTATCTGGGTGATATCCCCAAGGTTTCCACATCATCATACCATCGGAGTGAAGACAGAAACGACTTTCATCTGAGATAATGACACAACTTGTCCATTTATTAATATTCTTTTGCCACAGCTGTTTTCTACAAAATGTGTATCGTGATTCAATATGTTTATCTGTTAAACATGGTCTTTTGATCGCTTTTCCATAATGAAATTTTAATTCGTGGCGTATAGAATTAACTGTTGTTGCACTTAGACCAATTTCCATCCCAACTTTATGACTACTTGATTGTGGATTGATTATCGTTGACATTTCGACGTTTTTCATAGCGTCCTTTGTGATTTTTGGTGGTCTTCCCATTTTTGTTAATTTTGGAATAAATTGTGGATTTTCATTCAACTTAACTTTTAATGAATGAACTGTACTTTTCGAAAGGTGTCTTGAAGTTGAAACTTTTGTTATTGATATTCCATTAATCAAATCCGTGCATGCGTCTTTTAATTTTTGATGACGGAGTTTATCACACATTTTACTTTCTCGCGTCCTCATTACTGGTTTCATTGTTTAATAAAAAAGTTCTTTGACAATTTGCCAAACTCAACCACTTTTTACCACTTTTTAAAACTCAATTCCACTCTTTTAAAATTTTCATCTAAAAAATAATTATTTTTCTTTTTTAAAAAATTTATGAGTTTTTTATGTTCTGTGTTTTTCTCTTTTTAAATGTATTTTATTCTGTTAATTATTCGTTTTACCAAAAAATATTAAAAAAAACACACAAAAAAGAATTATATCGAGTACAGACTTTTTATTTCCAGTTTACAATCCAAAATTAACATTGATAATTAACAAGTTTATTCAAAAATAAGTATATTAAAACAAAAAACAACAAATTCAAATACAAATACAACTGTTTAATGAAATTAAATAACCACATAACTTAACAAAAAATGTTATATAATCATAAGTGATTTAATAAAGTTTATTATTATATATTTAAATATACAAAAGAATAAAATCAATGTACAGTCAAAAACATCTAATGTTGTGAATATAAATGTTGAACTTATTATTTGTTGCACAACAAGCCAATCATTTCAATGTACGACAATTGAATATTTTGTTCTTGAACATGTAACTTTTGTTGAATTAAAAACAATTTTTTTAATAAAAATGAACTATAATAATAAAAAGATTTATGTACAAAATTCACTCATTTACAACAAATAGATGCGTTTTACTGTTAAATTCACGACAAACAGACGTTTTTGACTGTAAAAATAACACATAACATTTTTTCTTTGAGAATTAACAATAATTGATATTTTTATCCCTCAAAATTAATTAAAACTTTATTGTATGTGAATTCAAAATTCAAAAAAACGATTAAAATATTTTTTTACTGAAGTTTTGGGGTGCTTGAATTTAAATTATTAAAAATTAAATGTAATTAATAAATAAAAGGTAAGATTGATCATTAGTTTTAATTAAATGAAATAATATATACAATCGGTGGTATATTGTTAGATATAACGAGTAGATTGTAATAAACATCTGTAAGCTAAAATAAACCAAATGTTATTTTCAAATACAAATAGAATTAAAATATTTTTTTATATCAAAAAAACTGTTATGTTCAAATAATTTACATCATTCAAACTACATCAATGTATATATTCTGATTTTAAATCCTAAA